TAGAAGCCAAGATGGCTCAGAAGATCAGAGTACTCTCGCATGCACGCAGCTGCCTCAGTGAAGCTGCAAGGGCACGGTACGTGACCTCTGTAGTACTGCCAGACGCCCTAAACGACTCGCCCGCTTTCAGTGGCTTACTGTTAAGGGTGCAGGTACTGCCGAATCGAGCAGTCCGCACTGTCTATGGTGTGCCCATGCAGCACTCAGCTGAACCTTTGCTAACCCAGCTGGGAGTTTTTGAGGTGTCAGAGAAGCCAAGCCCTATATGACAAGCTTCTTAGTACAAGCCGCGTAGCTTTAACGAGAATATTTTCGTTGGATAGAATGACTCCCACCACTCTTCTATACAGTCATACTAACTTCTATGCCCTTGAGAAACGCCTCAACTTCAAAACCTATGTATTTGTTTACCGCTGCCTGAATGGACTTGCTAGTCCTCTTCTGCGAGACTGCTTTACCTTGCGCGCCCATTGTGCTCACACTGCAGCCACCACCCGTGGCCAAGTCTCTGCTGTTCTTGTTCTGCCCCCGCTAACACCCGATATGGCTTTAGTGCAATTTCTTATTTGGGCGCTGCCAGGTGGAATACACTTCCACCGGCTTGCCGCATGTCTAGTTTACCAGCTGAATTTCGCTCATCCATCAAATTATACTTAGGGTTCCCTGTAAAAAGGCGCTGACGCCTGTTGAGAATTCTCTAGTAAAAAATAAAATAAAATAATAATAATAATAAATAATAACTCGGATCATGAGCCAATTAAATAATTGTGAAAAGAAGAAGGACTCTCGCTGACTGTATAAGATCTGGCAACATTGGTGGACAGTTAGTCATAACTCGTAACATTTTGTCCTTCTCCTTTTCACAATAAACGAGAGAGCTTGGAAGCTCAGGGCCCTGCGCTTTGCTTTTTTTGCCTTGATGACCTAGACAAAAAAATGCATAGGGATGTTTTCTTTAAAAATCATTTTTTTTAACCTGGGATTCGAACCCGCACTATCGCGCGCCCTGCATGCAGCCCCCGATACACTTCGCATACATACTAATTCTTCCAAGTTGTTTCACATTGTGATCTTGCATTTGAAAGCCCTATTTGAATATGCATTGTGGCCAGCCATCTTTGATGGCACGGTACGGTAGGGAATAGGTACGGAACAGGTACGATCGAGGGTAATACGACACCGTCTAGCTGCCCGCAATATTCAAATAGGGCTTTCAAACGCAAGATTAACGTGAAGCAACTTGGAAGAATGGGTATGAATGCGAAGTGTATGGGGGAATGCATGTAGGGCGATAGTGCGGGTTCGAATCCCAGGATATGCCTGAAAAAAAAGGAGAATTGAAAAATTTATAACATCCTATGCTTTTTTTGCCGTCAGATACGGATAGCGCCAGGCGTGACACAAACAAACAAACAAACAAACAAACACACAAACAAACAAATACCAAATTAAAGCTGTGTGGACCCTGGCTAGCGCCAGACGTTACTGAAGTAACGTCTTCTGCATAGCTACGGGAATAATAATAATTATAATAATGGACTTAGATGGAGAGCCAAGGTTGAATGTATACAAAAGAGAAAGACCAAGGAACTACAAGTTACGCTCTACTGTCCACTAACACCACCAGTTACTAAACAATCAGCTCATGCGATAACATCGGTCAGTGTCGTGCAATGTTATCGCATGAGCTGATTGTTTAGTAACTGGTGGTGTTAGTGGACAGTATAGCGTAACTTGTAGTTCCTTGGTCTGGCAAGTCGAGGTACGCCTTCAATGCTACAGGTAAATGGAACAGATTACCTGGAGACGTCCGCTCCAGCACAACGCTGGAGACCTTCAAAGCTGCAGCAGTACCATACGCAATTGCTCGTGTGCTGTGCCTGATGTATTCCTTGCAAGATACATGCAACAGTAGCAAATGCCATGTTCTCCAGCTGACTATCATTTCCAGTGCATACACACTTTTATAATTATTCTCTATCTTTTTTTTCTTCCCTCTTCGCTACCTTGTCATTGGGAAGAAATTCCCGTTTGGATTTTGCGAAGTAAAACAAACTAAAAAAAACGCACACACAAAAAAACACTGAGAACGGACATCGCATCAAAGGGAATAAAACTGCAGATGGATGAAGATCTATCACATATCAGGCATCTGGCACAGGACCGAACAGCATGGCGGCAGCTATTCCACACCTGAGCCTGCAGAGAAAATGACCGGATTTGCCCAAATGGAACATGACATGATGCATGAAGTGAACGGAATGGACAATCTGATATATTTTTCCATATCCTTTGCCTCCTGTTTCTTTTTACCTTCTTTCAACCGCGCTGCTCTGTGCCCCTTCCCTCGCTTTCTCTTGTCCTTACTGTCTTCTGACTTGTTGAGCGGCCTGAGCGAATGGTAGAGGTGGATGTGTATTATGTGGATTTGTTGATTTCTGTAGTACCACACCCCGATGCAAACGCGGAGAGGTAAAGAATAATAATAATAATAATAATAAAAATATATAAATGCATCGAACTAGCTTTCGCAATTTTAGGGCTCACAGTACGTATGCCGATTGCCAGTGGACATCAGCGCCATTTTGATTGGGGCACTCAAGTTCACGTGATCCTTTCGCGTGCAGTTCTGTGCTGCAGTGTACATTGTAGATGGACAACACTACAACAATACAAGTCTGGAGGTAGCCATTGCAGGCTTCGTCTTCAAGCTCTGCGAGTTCTCTACTGCAAGCATGCACGCATGCGCACACTATACATATGTACATGATTACATCACTACATCTCCCCTTCAAATAAAAAAAAAAGAAGAAATCAAAATAAAGGAACAAAGTGAAGAAGGAAAAGCCAATTAATTGAAGAGAAAAAAACAAAAAGAAGAAAAGAAGGGAAAAACCCGATGCGAATGCGCATGCCATGCGCCAGTCATTCAAAACTGCAAATCACTGAGAAAAACAAACAAAACACAACCACGCTACATACTACCGACAAGCGGCTGTGAACGAGGAAGAAAACAAAAACTTCAGCACAAAAAACGGTAAAATGGTCTCTACGTGTCCATGGACACACTGTCCCACAGCAGCAGCAGTCATCCATATGCCGCTCTGGCCTTCTCTGTAAGGGTTACCTGACGGCCAGAGCGGGTTTTCATGCCATCATGAAATCGCTTGGGAGACTCACTGGCTGGTGAGCTGGTCTGATCCCTGCAGACATCGCTAGGAGAAACTGGACGAGGCGAAGAACACGCGGATGAGGCGTCAGCAAGTGCAGTACGGGTGAGAGGGGCCTCAGCTTCCGTTGACGCTGGCACCAATGGATCACTACCTGTCGCCGATTGTGGTGCGGCCAGGCTAGTCGGAACCGGAACACTAACAGGAGGCGTGGACAGCGGTGACTTGGGTACGGAGGCAACAAACTCAGGCCAATCAGATGATGCAGCAGCAGGTGAGACCAATTCTCTGACATGTTGGCGGTTACGAAGCAGAATCCGGACACCATCGGTTACTCCCACTTGCCTCCCGTACTGCTCCACCACGGTCCACGGCTTGGCTGGATCATTGTATCCGGCATGGAGGATCACCCGCTTGCCCGCCTGCAGATGTGGCAAGGCCTTCACTCCCCGACGAGCGTCATGATCACGTGCCATTGTGGCCTTGGCTCTCAGCTGGATGCTGGGGTTGACAATGCGAGGAGGGATCATGGTAGGAACTCTGCTACGCAATGGGCGAGAGAACAGAACCTCGTTTGGAGAGGTTCCCAACATGCGGTGTCGAGAATGTCGGACGTCGAACAGAACCTGGATCAGTCGTCGACGGAAAGGTAAATGAGGCTTCAGTGCCACCATTCTTTCCTTGACGAGACGATGGAGTCGTTCCACCATGCCATTGGAACATGGATAACGTGGGCTGGAGTGGATGTGACGAATGCCCAGCCGCTGCAAGAAAGTGGTCATCTGCTCAGACACAAACTGTGGCCCGTTATCCGAAACCAGTACAGACGGTAGACCGAATAGGGCAAACACTTCATCTACCTCCTCCACGATAGCTGTAGTGGTTGTAGAGGACAGAACCTTGAGGATAGGGTACCGGGAGCCATAATCAATGAGGGAGAGAACAGAGTGGCCCTCAATAGATACTAGGTCGATTGCCAGCTTCTCCCACACGCCTTCAATCTCAGTGGGGAGAAGATCTTGCGGACTGTTTGTGCGACGTCGCCAACACTCGGAGCAACGTTCCACATACAGACTGGTGTCCTTGGTGAGCCCTGGCCACCAAACCCTCTGCCGGAGGGAATCTTGAAAGGCTTCCTGGCCCGGGTGTCCCTCATGCGCTTATGCCATGACGGAATGGCGTAGCCCTTCTGGTATCACAACACGTGCCGACAATAGCAACACACCGTCAGCTGCAGTGAGTTGATCTCTGACGAGATAGTACGGCTGCTCAGCGGGCGAGGCATCGCGCCACGCTGCACGACACTGTGGAGTGTTGCGTCGTCTTGAGTGGCACGGCGGATCTCCTCAAGGTTGACTGGTGCTGCCTCAAGAACCATGTTGACGTACTCATTCAATGACCGGGACTCAGCTGGAGGCGAGACAGTGGTCTTCAGCGGAGCATGAGACAAAGCGTCAACGCACAACAGTTGCTTTCCTGGGATGTGCTTGAGTGAGTACGAATACGGCATCAGAGAGACTAGCCAACGCTGGAGACGTGGTGGGACGTCATCGAACGGCTTCTGAACTATATGGAGCAGTGGTCTGTGATCCGTGAAGACGTCCACATCCCGGCCCAGAACGTACTGGCGGAAACGAGTTAGAGCGAATACCACACCCAACATTTCACGCTCCATCTGCGAATAGCGTGTCTCGACATCAGTCAATGATCGGCTGGCACAAGTGACTGGCACCCACTGGCCCTTGTCGTCGTGCTGCCAGAGGATAGCGCCCAAACCTTGAAAGAAGCATCGCAGCTGATAGCCGTACAAACATCTGGAGATGGGCGGAACTACGCCAATGTCTGCAGAGATGAAGCGACTGCCTGCTTCACTGCGTTGAATGCCGCAATCAGGCTCTCAGGAGCTACAAATGGCTCCGGCTGCTTGACGGTCGAACGAAGTGGCTCAGTTACTTGAGACAGCTGAGGAACAAACTTGCCCAGATAGGTGACCATCCCGAGAAAACGCTGAACGTCGGCGAGGCACGTAGGCTCCGACAGTTCACTGATAGCTTGAAGCTGGCATGTGTCGGGTTGAACACCTTGCTTCGTCAGGTCATGGCCGAGATACTTGACACATGTCAGTCGAGTGCGACACTTGCCCCAGTTGAGACAGAGATTAGCAGCTTTGAGTCGTTCCAAAACGCTAGCGAGCCATGCGTCGTGTTCCGCCCGGTTGCGACCATACACCAAGACGTCATCTATATAGACAACAACACCAGGCAAACCCGAAAGGAGATCAGTTACAACACGCTGAAATATCTCGGGAGCACAGGATATGCCAAATGGCAGTCATTTGAAACGATAGAGACCACAGTGTGTGGTAAACGTGGTAAGCAGTCGGGATTGGTCGTCAAGCAAGAGCTGGTGAAAACCAGACTCTGCGTCCAAAACCGAGAAAACCTCCGCTCCCGCAAGCTCCGCAGTAATTTCATCAATGGTTGGCAATGAACGTCGCTCTCTAACAATAGACTTGTTCAACTGCCGATAGTCAACACATAAACGCAAGGTGCCGTTTGACTTACGGACTGGGACGATCGGCGATACCCATCCAGACGCTTCCTTAACTGGCTCGATGATGTCTGCCTTGACCAGACGATGCAGTTCATGTCGGCCTTGGCGCGGAATGGGGGACGTCGTGCTGGTTGAGCCACCGGCCTAGCTTCAGCATCCACGGAGATGGAAATTGGTGCGGTGTCAACTAAATTGCCAGTGTCCACCAGGTGCGCTGGAACCAACAGCTCAAGTTCAGAGATCACATCCTGGCCGAACAGAATACGATGTTTCCCATGGGGTACAACAAAACAACTACAAGACATGGTACGCGTAGGAGATGCGATGGTTACATCAGCCATGCCTAAAGTTGCAATCTCCCCGCCTGTGTACGCCTTGAGGACACGATTACTGCTGCGGGTAGGCTGGACAATGTCATCGGTGAGAATAATACGGCTTGCACCAGTATCCAGCAAACCTTCACACTCCTTGCCATCCACCAGTAGCGATGCGAGGAACTGGCGGTGTGACCCGGTCTGCTCAGCCATGTACACGGTGTCATAAAGCAAATGAGCCTGGTCAGCTAGGTCGGCGGGCTCCTTGTCGACGGCGTTAGCATCTAATCCAGAGCGTTGCGACTGACATACAGCCGCAAAATGTCCGACCTTGCTACAACAGCAACAGCGGATGTTGGCTGCAGGGCAAAACGACTTTCCCTTAGCATGGGTACGGCCACAGTACTTGCAAGAACCAGATAGTGTACGTGGCTGTCTGCGTTGCTGTCTGGTCGCACTAACGGCAGGCACTGAGCTAAACTGATTGGCAGGCTCTGCCGGCGGATCATACAGCTTACTCTCCGCATAGGAGGTCTCCAGTGCCACTGCTTTGGTGATGGCATCTGCAAGGGTGAGTCTGGACTCCTTGAGCAACTCGCGACGAACTTCGAGGGATTTCAAACCTGCAACCAACTGGTCTCGCACCTGGGAGTTTACCACGCTGTCCACATCCGTCGCCCCGAATTTACATAAGTCCACTCTCTCTCGTAAACGGCCAACGAAGGTGGAGACGGATTCCTCCGGCCCTTGTTTGAGCTGCCGGAATTTGTGACGTTCTGACGTCGTATTGATGGTGGGACGGAAGTGCGCCAGAATGGCGTCCGTCAGTGCTACGTATTCGTCTCCAGGAGAACCATCATCATTTGCTGGCGGAGAAGGAATAACCAGACCCTTCACAACTTTGCGAACTGAGAGTCCGGCCAAATTCAAAAATATACGCTTTTTGTCAGCAGCAGTAGAAACATTACAAATTGCTAAGTAGTCGTTGACATCCTCGAGCCAAAGCTCAAAATCGGCCCCGATGTCGCCGGCGTAATCGGTTACAAAATCCTTGGGCACTCTGCCCTTCGTTGTCATCTTGACCTGTTCACTGCGCCAATGTAGATGGACAACACTACAACAATACAAGTCTGGAGGTAGCCATTGCAGGCTTCGTCTTCAAGCTCTGCGAGTTCTCTACTGCAAGCATGCACGCATGCGCACACTATACATATGTACATGATTACATCACTACATACATCGTGCACGTGTATCCGCAGCATGTGTATCCGCAGCATGTAGTTGCAGTTTTCTTGCTACGGCAAACAAAAATTTTCACAAGTAGCTAGAAGATCGAGAAGCTTGGGCTGCCTTGCTCTTCTCTGTAGTTCGGGAGATGGACATCAAACAGTGGTAGTTCTCCATGACTCACCCTTGATACTGAGCTGTGGCTAAGGCCGGTGAAGTGAGGGACGAACTACCCAAAAATATTGCAAGCCTACAAGCGATTCGAGTCACTAATGCCCGGGAAGAAAAGGATGAAGAGCACTAGTCTACCACGACGATATTCCACAGTAACCGGCTCACACTCGGCTCTACCCACACCCGACCATGGATTTGGAAGGAAGGAGTTTGTTCCACTGTGCAGTGAATGAAACGGCAGATAAGCGAAGAGTTGTACACGCCGTCGCGTAATCTTTGTAGTTCTCGTTTTGAAGATCTGCTGCGCTTCTCACGATCCTAGCCCTAGAACTACAGGAGGCATCATAATTATGATGCATTTGCGAATTGCAAAATGTGATTGCTGTGATATGGGCGGTTAGAATCCCCCAAATTTTGTGACTTTTATTTATTTTGTATTGTGTTAGTGGTGGTGGGCCAAAATTTGAGTACTGTTCCGAAATGCCATGGGGTGCTACCTAGAATTACCGCACGGCATCATATGACTCCACATACTACAGGCATCAATAAGAGGGCGAATTATTATTTGGTTCAGAAGCACAAGTGAATATTGTAAAGAGGAATACGTTGAGGAGCAAGTAGATGGAGAACTATGAAGGTGATAATTTGTACATATGGAAATGCTAATTTGCATACCGTATTTTACCGGTTGTAAGTCGACCCCGGTTATAAGTCGACCCCCGTATCTGGAGGTCTCAATTCTGCGTTTTAAAGTTATCACCCAACGAAGCATTACTAACCAATCCCTGCTACTAACACATCAATAAATCATGTAAACATTCCTTATTGGAGGTTATAACATCCCAATCCTTGAAAAGGCCAAAAAACTGGAAAAAAATGTGTACACATAGTGGACTCGTGCATGCAGTGCAGGTCATTGTTTTGTTCCCGGTTATAAGTCGAATCCCGGTTGTAAGTCAACCCCACCCTTTCTCCTTCTATTTTTAGTCGTAAAAGGTCGACTTACAACCGGAAAATACGATATTTCACGTGTAGTTATGGTCAATATCGTAATCCTGAATGCTGTAGAAGCAGACAAATTTGTTCGCCCGAAGTGGTGGAAAGTGATCGACTATATCATCTGCAGCATTGAACAATATGAAGTGCCAGCGCAGGTTTTATATTCTTGGAACTTCCTTTGAGTTTAGGTTGGTCTGGCGGAAGGCATGTTCGGCAGGTGTAGTGTCGCTGCCGAAAGCATTTCATTTGATTTTGATAAACATTCGGGGCAGGAGTTTGGGGATGAATGTGAGGAGAGTGACTGGATAATTGTGGGCAGAGAAAAGTGACTGAACATAGAGACACAAAGTTATGTGCTCCAGATGAAGATGAGTGAATAGTAATTGCCCCGTCTTCTCGATGAGTCTGATACAGGATCCGACTCCAAGAAGGAAGGGGATAACGGTGCTGATAAAGCTATGGAGCCATTCCCAAAACAGAACATCAACATCCAAACCTCGGGCAAGACGTCCTTCATGAAACTGTGCTCTCTGGCAAAGTTGGTAGACAGTGGAAAATGTGTTGCACCAAGCAAGCTCGAAAGCACGCAATCGGTTATTGCTTCGGAAGTTCGCGGGCGTTTCCGGGATATTCACAATTTTGAAGATGGGGTAGATGCATTATTCGCATTTATTGACCAGAATATGATCCATGTCATGATCAAATGCCCAACGCAGGAAGGAAAACAAAAATTGGAGAGGACTCTATTTTGAGTGAAGGCAATATCATGGCATTGGTTTCCCAAATTTCCGCAAGAGGCGTCCTCTGTACCCGCAATAATCTGCCGACGGCCCTTCGGCTGGATAGGAATGGACGCCATATAATCAAGTAAAATCCCTAAAAATAGTTTCCAGGAACTACTCTGCTACTTGAGGTTTGATCACGAAGATGGTCTCTGGACACGACGTCGAACAGAAATCATTTGTTTGCTATGAGTCGCGACGCCACTTTCTCCTTTCGCTCGTAAATGTATTTATCACAGCAGTCAAAGAATGACCCACCTGGCTGAGGAAAATCCAGCAAATTGGCAAAGCAGCAGCCATTCCAGAGTAATGTCCTGAAATGTAGAGTTTGAAGGATCAGCATGGCAAGCAAATGCTCTTTTATTTTGCTGTAAACTGACGAGATATCGCGATTTCGCTGCGCGCAATACCAGCTGCTGGTCTCCAAGATAGTGCACCTGTAATTGGTTATTTCATTTAAAAGGTACCCTTTACCCCATGGTCTTTCGTTTCCACATATTGCCAAAAATAATACCAAGCAGGTATGTTTAAGTCCGGTGGAGTCATATGATGCATCCGGTAATTCTAGGGTAGTTGAAATTTTGGTAGTTCTAGGGCTAGGCAAACAGGCCACGAACAAGCCGTCTCTCAACGATCAGATAGTAATTGCAAGGTCGTTACCAGGACCCTTTGCAGAGCTGATTCCATGAAGAACAACATGAGAGCACAAAACAAATCACTCGAACATGGCGCTGATCGCCTTGCAAGGTGACCAACACGTATTTTAGATAAGTGAGCTTTGCTGGAATGCAAAGCTCTGTTTTCCGCACGCAAGGTACACTAAATCGGTGGTGGTATGCGTGACAAGGTTACGCTTCAAAAGATTCGATCACAAGATCTGTTAGGCCGCTTCTCTTTATCGACGCCTCATTTTCTTCGTTTTTTCTTTTCCCAGAACTTTACCGAGCGATTTTTGTGCTTCTTGCTATTGTTTGAAGATCATAATACAGGCAATTATGTCGTGTTACTGTTCATGCGGCTGGTCATAGTCACAAAGGCTTACCAAAACAGTTGAACCTGTGTAGCGGGCCGCAGTCTCTCGGAGGCAAGAATACACAAGGGTCTCAGTGAACACACTGTTATTCCCGTAGCTATGCGGAAGACGTTACTTCACACAGCTTTATTTTGGTATTTGTGTGTTTGTTTGTTTGTTTGTTTGTGTCACGCCTGGCGCTATCCGTATCTGATGGCAAAAAAGCATAGGATGTTATAAATTTTTCAATTCTCCTATTTTTTTTCAGGCATATCCTGGGATTCGAACCCGCACTATCGCCCTACATGCATTCCCCCATACACTTCGCATTCATACCCATTCTTCCAAGTTGCTTCACGTTATTATCTTGCGTTTGAAAGCCCTATTTGAATATTGCGGCCAGCTGTATGTGGCCAACTGTGTTTGATGGTACGGTACGGTACGGGAGACGGTGTCGTATTACCCTCGATCGTACCTGTCCCGTACCTATCCCCTACCGTACCGTGCCATCAAAGACGGCTGGCCACAATGCATATTCAAATAGGGCTTTCAAATGCAAGATCACAATGTGAAACAACTTTGAAGAATTAGTATGTATGCGAAGTGTATCGGGGGATGCATGCAGGGCGCGCGATAGTGCGGGTTCGAATCCCAGGTTATGTCTTAAAAAAAAAAGAATTTTTTAAAGAATTTATAACATCCCTATGCGTTTTTTTTGTCTAGGTCATCAAGGCAAAAAAGCATAGCGTAGGGCCCTGAGCTTCCAAGCTCTCTCGTTTATTAAACACTAAACTCAACTGAAATGTAACTAACTGGCAATGAAAAGAATCGTGAGCAGCAGCTTTTATACACAGGTAGACTCCGTACGCTAATGTACAGAGATCCGCTAACGTACGGGGATAAGCTAATGTATGGGGATACGCTAACGTACGGGATACGCTAACGTACGGGATACACTAACGTACGCACGTACGTACATGCTACCTGGCATGTCCAGTTGCACAAAAACTGACTGGCCACACACAAGTGGCAGACCGATGCGGAAGGTGTCGGTGCCCGGGCTGTACACAGTGTATGCCTCCAAACCCTGGAGTCACCTTTATGGGGATACGCTAACGTACGGGATACACTGACGTACGTACGTACGTACGTACATGCTACCTGGCATGTCCAGTTGCACGAAAACTGACTGGCCGCACACAAGTGGCAGACCGATGCGGAAGGTGTCGGTGTCCGGGCTGTACACAGTGTATGCCTCCAAACCCTGGAGTCACCTTCATCGGCATTGCTGCCATAAGGAAAATCAAACAGCTCTGCCCTGCCAGCAATTTTACCAAAGGCCTTGCCTGCCAGGTTACCGGATAACCCACCAGAGGGGGATTGCTGCTCGTGACATGTGAAGGTCATGCGAACAAGTCGCAGACTCGCCATGCTGCTGCGTCTGCAGTGGTTGTTGCTTGTGGCCGTTGATGTTGCTGTGCAGCCTGTGCCTTCAAACGCTTTATGCATTTCTTGCATGTCCATGCATCTGGTTTAATAGCTGGATGGATGCTGGGTGTTAATCCCAGTTTTCAATTGAGGCTGGGTGGGTATATCTGGCATTGTGTCTGGCATCGTGTGGTGTCTCCTGGCACATAGAGCAGGGTCCACACTCTCAACCAGGGCGCAATTGCGTACCCAAATTATGCCGGCCCATATTTTGGCATGGGGTGGCAGGTCACCTGCCAGCGATTCAGACGCTCTGAGTACCTCCTTCGGGGCTCTATAATGTGTGGACGCTTTCTTTCTCCGCTCTTGCAACAAGCAGTGGCCCGAAATAATCTGCGACATACTATGAAGTTTGTATTTTGAAAAAAAGGAACAAAAATGTCGAAGGAAAGTGATCAGATGTTTGGAGACCTATTCAAAAATCTGCTTGACTATTTCGCCACTCAACCTCGAAGCACTGGAACTGCCCAAAATCAATCGATATCTCCGTGTTTGTTCGCAGTTTCTCCACAACCAGTTGTCTAAATCCTTGAGCAAAATTGAGAACACCACCAAAATGCCCTTCAAATTTCCCGTAGCTGGAAATAAGAAGAGGATCCTTTCTGCAGCATTTTCAAACTTGGCGCATCGACTGTCGGGCCCTAGGATCAAGGCTTGGTGGATATTGTACGTAGATAACAGTTCGCTGGAAACCAGAGTCGACTTGCTGAAATTTCTGTTGATTGCAATTCTAAACGTCAATTTTGGATTTTTTTGTATGTTCTCATGCTCAGTTTCTTTCTGGTACTACACGCATGGCCAATCTGTTGGAGCACTGGAACTATACCAGGAATATGACATTTTAAATGGGGCTTCTGAGTTAGGAACAGTGCAGAGAGTATTTAGCACGGTTGGCAACCAGACCGAAAGCTGGACTAAAGCAAATGCTCGGCTGGATCGACCTCGGTTTCCCAGCGGTTTCCGACCGCAAATACAGGTATGTTTTCCATTTTGCATTCATTTACTCCCACCGCTTAGGAGCTCCATCTGCACCTTGATCCTAGAGGATGGTGGCGTTCCTGTGGCTGCGTATACGCAAAACTCTGCCTCTAGACTAGTCTCACACGTGCCGTGATTTTTTCACACTCCACACGCACAACATTCATAGCTGCATTGCAAGAGGCTTTTAAAAACCTTCAGCTGAAAGCTGAATAAGCCGCTTGTGCTGGTACCTCACCACACTTTGCCACGTAATTTCCGTAGCGTCTTGCTTCATTTCTTCATCAGCCAATGAGAAGCACCACTATGCATGTATTTTGTTCGTTTGAAGGACATGCCCGAAAGAGCCGGTTAAGGCGAGTCAGTTTCTTGGCGTTGATGTGTTTTCCGCCTTTTTTGTTTACAGGTAGCCTTGACTTTTGTGGCAACACGCTCTAGTGGACCGGGAGGAATCGCAATAGATGACGTGTATATCCCCGGTGCATGCTGGGGTGAGTTTGTATCCTATTGAGCTTTACTTGTGACGGTTATGATTGCTGGTCTTAGCTTGTATCCATTTGCCCGCTCTATTTGTTTTGTTTTGTTATCATTCAGCTTCAACTGAGACAAGAATGCCATAATACTCACAAATAGGATACACACCCTCTCGTTGCGAACATTTTGAAAGCTTTTGGTTTCACAAGACTTAGTATACTTTTGAGCCTTCTCGTCGGCTGAAATACTGGCAAAGGGAAAGGAACAAGAACAGCGGATTAATTACGTACAGTAAGGAGGTGATAAAACAGAGCAGAGAAGAAGATAGGTAAAACTAACAGTGAAAATGCGTGGCAAATACGCATACAAATAATAACACAAAGATGCAAGGTGCACTACATGCCACGCTTGCTAGGTTTTCTCCCACTTCCACCTTAGCATCATTGTTTCTATATGTATAGGCCATGCATTTTCACTGTAAGTCCACTGTTCTTGTTCCTTTCCCTTTGTCTGTATTTCATCTAACGAGAAGGTTCGAAAGTATACTTGTGAAACCGAACACTTTCAAGATGTTTTTAAACATTCATAAAGATTTTGCAGGCTACTTGCCCCGCAAAAAGGTGACGGCAATCTTAGCTGCATACCTTCAACTAATTATGTACATCCATAAAATATTTTGCAGGCTACTTGCCTACACTCAAGTAAGCGCTGAATTTTCACGCCCAATCCTGTAATTACACTCTGATGGATTAGGATTAATTTTAATCCCGTAGTTTTGTCAAGTTTTCGTCTACCAGGGCCAGGAACCAGTTAGTAGTGAGGTTTAGTCCCACGTAACGGGTTCGGGAACGTGGGTGATACATGTCAAGTTCACGCTATCGACCCACGTTCACGTTCCACGTTTTAGTCACACGGAACAAACAAAAGCAGGAAGCGAGAGGTCCAAACCTGGCCAAAAGCGAAGCTTCGAAGCTCATTGAATATCTTGATTCCGTGCTTCGGAACCTTCTTCAGCTGAGCACACTCACATCTTGCACGATGCCTAGGAAAACTATGAAATATGCATGCACATGTTGGTGGCCCCATTGTGCATGTTAAACGGGACTAGCTGTTATAATCATGTGAGTGCACTCTCACATATGTGCGTGCGCGCGCGTGTGTGTGTGTGTGTGTGTGTGTGTGTGTGTGTCCCATATGGTGCAGTGGTATGCGCAGTCGATTTCCAATCGAGAGATTGCGGGTTCAATTCCCGACGATTATGGTCGCACACGTCTTTCTTCTCTTTCTCGCATTCTTCCTGACTTTTCTTTCATTCTCCTGGGGAGGTTACCAACAGCCAGTAGGGAGGTTCTGCTCTACGTTATGGGAACGCGACGCAAAGAATCACGTGAACTCTCTTCGCGTTCCCGAAACGTAAAGAAATCCTGTTCTGCTCTACGTTCACGTAGAGAAGTCAATTGGAATGCGTACTGGGAATTTATCCTTCCATATTTGGCAGTTTTCTGCCTGCACTCGAATGATACCCAGCAGAGCCGTACGCATTTTCGTTGCGTGTGCCACAGCGTAGAGAACCTCATCTACGCGTAGAAATCTGGACCCAAAACACGCGAAGCCGTAGACTCTAACCCAGACACCTGCCCTCTACGTGATTTCTCTACGTTTAAGGTATAGCAGAACCTCCCTAGTGTATGCCGGAGTATGTGGTGTGGTGTGGTGTGGTGTGGTGTGTGTGTGTGTGTGTGTGTGTGTGTGTGTGTGTGTGTGTGTGTGTGTGTGTGTGTGTGTGTGTGTAGGAAATAAAATGGAAAAATGAAAAATAGGAATTCACTGGCCAGAAAAAGTCACTTCAAAATGCTGTGTGGTGGATACCAGGCTAAAAATAGTGGCGGTCAATTCATCAGCCTTGCAAGTTGTTGAATGGTGTAATCCCAGCACAAGTTGCCATGTCTAACATAGCTGTTCGCTATCATTGCTTCCGCGATGGGCATGTCTGAGGTGTGTGTGTGTGTGAGTGTGTGTGTGTGTGTGTGTGTGTGTATGTGTTTGTGTGTGTCTGTGTGTTTGTGTTTGTGTGTATGTTTCCCTTCGTGTAAATGTAAATGCTCAGGTCAAAAAAGTTCAATGCCAGTATTCAACCAGCCAAGTGAGTGCTGCATGTTCATCTCGTTTGTTTAGTGCGTCTTTACTGAGGTCTGCTGCGTTGCTCAGCCAAATATGGCTCAACAAGTCAACAGGGAATGGGAGTATTTTAAACGGTAGCTCACAAACTCACAAACTACTCTCCTGAGCATCCTTCGGTGCAGCTCATGAGTGGATATAATCATGACTTACCTCTCATTGTAGACAACGTTTCTTCTTCTTTTTCCATGTTCTTTTGGGCTTAAAGAACCCTATTTCGGAAGGGAAATGAGGCTTTACAGCATGAATTTGCCCAAATAACCCATTTAATCGTTTTTCCCCGCTCAGTAAGGGTGGAACTTCGCATGGAAGCTGAAAAACAGGGACCTCTTCGGACTTATGTTCCTGTTAATCGGTGCTCACAATGACCTTTACGCGAAAATTCATCATCTGTGAAAGGCTATGGAAGATCGCAGTGGTTGAAAAGGCTGGAGTTTGTAGTTGGAGATGCTACTCTGTACAGGAGAGCAATCTGCAGGAACGAGCTATGCTAAGCTAAATAGCAAAACAGCGGCACATTGGAAGATAGTTAAGAGCAGAGCCCACACGCTCTCTTCCATTAACACTGCAATAGTTCAACTCATTTCACAATAATGATTCCAACGTTTCGGCAAATCGCCTTCATCAGGTTCACAACCATTGTTAATGGAGGAGAGCGTGTAGGCTCTACTCTTAACTATTTATGAAACTGCAGGAAGCCTCCCCACTTTAACTTACACTGGAAGATATTGCCCAAATACCCCCCACCCCACCACCACTACCACCACCACAACGCCACCAGAAATGGTCTTTTCTTGCTCCATACATCTATAGAGCGATACTGAACTCAATGACCAGAACCATCCTCCAATTTAAATTTTGATATTGAGCTACTCAATAGAATATAGCGGAAACCACCACTGCAGCTCTACTTATGGTTGATTAATACGAGTAATACATTTGCAGCCTAGAGAGCGTGTGTTGGGAGGCGTGTATTTACCGCCATATTGCCACGTGTGTGTTTATCACCTCATCAACTTTGAGCTACTAGTACTCAATACCAAACAATTGTTCTGCAGATTGGTCTGCTTGTTGCTGTTGTTGTATTCAGCACCTCCTCCCTGTAGCTGCAACGAACAAAAAAAATAGCCATCCATTGGTGGGGTGTTTGGCCGTCATCTTCCAGCATGCCGCTCTGAAAGATGTGGGATTCTGCGGCTATGTTGATAGGAACACAACCAATCCGCAAACAACGAACACTGATTCGTATGGGCGAATTGCTATTTTTTTAGTTTCAGAGTTCCTGTGATTGCGCTGAACTTTGACAGCATGCTAGTGCAATTTGGCCGACTGCATCCATGATCTAGGCCACGTGATTGGGCCAAAGTGCTCGTACAAACTTATGCATGTGTATCAGCATCACTGGCTGCCGTGTGTACTGGCCTCAAGTCCCCGTCTGCATAGGCAGTTTTGTAGGACGCATTTGAAAACTTCCCCTCACTGAACAGTAGTTGGCATCATCGAGCAGCTGTTCTGCAGTAGACGGAGTAATGGCAGAGTACGTTGGCTTTCTCCTTTGTCGATGTTTTTGCTTGAGTGGCTCATGTTCCATCCCACTAGTACATACTACTAGTGTTTGTGTACGTCCCGGCGGAAAGTTCCAGCAACTGCCTCGGCATGTTGTCCAATTTCGGCTCGTAGAGGTTGGTCGCATTCTGCAGCCTCACAGCAGCACGGCCCCCTGCGCAGTCACGCAATATTGGCCTGGCATGCCTGGCTCGGTAGGCCCGGTGGGCATGTTCCCTGCGGAACCAGTTGGCTCTTGGCTACAAAGCGGATTTTCAGCTGTATGTGGTCTAGTGGTGGCGGGCATTCTGTGCTCACACCACTCCAATACTGTGGACCCGCAGAGGTAAAAAAAATCAAACTGCCATACACAAAACCGATAGTGATTGTGTGTTCTAGCTATAAATCTGGCAGCTGATGAAGCCTTATTACACTAGCTTAACTTCATCCTTCGCATCTTGTTTTCCTGTTTTATTCTTTTCATCTGCTCCCCACAACTTCCTCATGGATATCGATGACAGGCAACTTCTTAAGTGGTAAGCATCTTTCTCTTGGTGTTGCATTCCGTAAAGGGTTCGATATTTTCGTGTGGTTCAGTCAGCCACCTGTAGTACTTATTACTTGCGGGGCAGGGTTGCTGAGCCGACGTATCTGGACCTTAGGCCGAAAACAGTGGACTGTATAAGCAGAAATATTCGCCTGGAATTTAATTTCGTCTTTTTCGTCCACCGAACTTTTGGACTAAATTGAATGCCGGACTAATGTCGATTTGTCCAGCTTTTCAATACAGTCTTATGGTCCACGGACTTAATTTTCAACCGGACGAACTCCCTTTCTTTGGAGTTGGACGAAATTAGTGACCGACGAAATTTTCTTCCTGTACTGTGTTAGAATTCCCCACATTAATCAATATTATTGATTCATGGAGAAATTGGGCCAAAAAGTGGTACGGTCAATACCGGAGTGACCGTACGGTGTCCGCTGCACCTGCGTACTCAGTTTACCTTTTAAGCTCCACACAGGAGCATGACAACTGTGACGCAGGGCTGTGTTTGTTTGAGGCGTTTCAACACGGTTGAGTTCGACCCAGGTCAAGTTTCAAGCCACCACAAACACAGATTGACTGGCGCGCTTACACGACGCTTTGCGCTTGCCCGGGGTGAAATTTCTCTCCGGGTTGATTTCAACCCTCCCTTTGTATTGGGGGAGGGTTGAAATCGAGAAATCATACTATCGTACTTTCATGCATATCTCGCGCAAGGTTTGAACAGCACTGCACAGGCAAATTTTCGCGCGAAAGTATTCATTCGACGATACAGGACTCTAAAACTGGACTTGTGGCGGCATATCAGTACTTGACCCGAGTCAACTGTCTTCATGTAAACACCCACCCAAGTTTTTCCATCGTACAGACTTTCAACCCTGGTTGAACTCGACCCGGGTTGAAATTTCTCATGTAAACACAGCTTAAGTATACTAAGGACCTATAGCCATACAAAGATGGTTGCACTCCACCACACACGTTTCCTTTCCATTGGCTGTATAATCAAGGTAGGACACTCTTGTGAGACGGGACGCTCTCTCCATACTCCAGGGCACACTCAACCTGACCTCATAACGGTATCTGCGTCAGTGCCAAAACATATTATGGTTGGTTGGATTTGTTTAAAGTCGTACAACAAACAGGCATATCTGCCTCCTTATATGAAGACGACTTCTGGCAGTAAAACATTTAAAAAGGAAAAAAGAGAAAAGAAAAAAAGAAAAGATAAGATCAAGAATTATAAGGGTTCTCTTGCTATCCCACCGACAGTATGAGAATCTGTATCTGTGCGTTGATATATGGAGGGTGGTGGCGCTCCTGCCGAGGCGGAAAACTGTGAAATTTTTCTGTAATCGGGATTACTGGCCCGTTTTATACATCCACCTCATATCGGTATTATTTTGTTCTTGTTTTATACTGGTCATACGGTCAAAACGTGCCTACATGTACGTTCGGAACACATTGCGTCCACAGCAGGCATCGCTGGTGCTCCAAATGCATTGATTTTTTTTAACTTAACCCACTTCTCGAGAACTTGAATTTCCATGATAACAGACTCTTTATTTTCCCAGCTAGGTAAAGGAAATATCTAGCTTTTTGAGGTTTTTGAGCTGAAGTAACCTGAGGAAATTTCATTTACCTTCCACAGCTCAAAACCTCAAAAATCTAGATATTTCACTAACAATTATGTTGATCGGTAGGCCCATTTTGTAGCGGTGTGGGGATAATAGCAATATTGTAATAGAGATAGTACGATGTACACAAAAGTCATTGAAGTGACTTGGTTTTATGGGCCATCTGGGGTTACCAATAGTTTTTGCAAAACGAAAAGTTTTAGTATTTTTCAGCTCCCACCCTTTCTTTTCTGCATGTAAAACGAATTCCAATAAAATATTGATGTCAGTTTTCGACACCCAGAAGTAACTGGGCATTCTCCATCTGCATTCAGTAATTATTTTCAAAACGTAACTCCTTCAAATCCACCCACCCCCAAACGAAAACTTTTCGTTTTGAAAACACTATTGGTAACCTTGGACGGCCCCTTACAGAAAATATCCTCATTGAGTTTAAGGGTAGGTTGATTTCATAGTGTCCACAGTAGAGCAAGATAGAAAGGTCCTTGTGTTCTCATTCTTAGTTTCATGTTCTAAAGGACTTTCAAAGAAAGGAAGTAGAAAGGAAAAGGACATATGGAAACGAGTTAAGAGTATCTCTCCACCACTGTAACTAGATACTATAATACAGTCAGAAAGTGCAACAACTAGGCACAAAACTGACAGAGTACTGAGACATTCGACGTCCTGACACCTAGCTTCAACACATCTCCGTAGCGCTAACCGAGGTGTCAGGACGTCGAATGTCTCAGTACTCTGTCAGTTTTGTGCCTAGTTGTTGCACTTTCTGACTGTATATAGTATCTAGTTACAGTGGTGGAGAGATACTCTTAACTCGTTTCCATATGTCCTTTTCCTTTCTACTTTATTATTGGCTCAATACCCGAGTTTCAAAGAAAGGAAGGTTAAAAATTGTACGCCCTTCACAACCGTCATCTTCAATTAGAACTGAAAAATTCACGAACCAGTTTTCAGGCATTCTCTTCAAGTGAAATACAAGCAACCTGAACCAACACAAATAGCGTCACAAAGTGATAGCCATCGCAACTACGTAATACATCTAGTGAAGACATATGCACACGGGGAAAAAACTTGGAAACGTATATTTCAGAATTTTCTACAACATTTGTCTTTTGAAACCATCAGTGGTAGGCTGTTTGCATAACTTGTTAGTTGGGAGAGAATTGAACCACAACTGAATTTGATCAGAAGGTAATAATATATTATTATGTTCTCTTGATCTATGCATGATCACCAATGAGGGGGGGGGGGGCAGACCCAGGTTTAATTATTGAATTTTGCATAAATTGATGATCTTCTTTGTGTAGAATTGTTTATTGTTGATATTGATATATTTTTCCTGTTGTTTCCCTTTTAATTATCTCCTCCTTCTGCTCATTCCTTCGCTCTCCCTTGCCTCCTGTCCTCCTTCTCCTCCTCCTCCTCCTCCTCCTCCCCCTCCTCCGCCTCCTTCTAATTCTCCTTCTCCTTCTCCTTTTACCCTTCACAATCTTCCTCACATCTATCGACTGAATGCTCCTGTCCATACTGCAACAACTTAGCCAATTCGCATCGCCGTAAGTGTGTTTTTTAGCCTTGACTTTCTTAGAATTGCATGCGTAATACCAGTACATGCTACTTCGTATTACAGTAATACCAGTACATGCTACCCCGTATTACGTTGATAGAAGGAAAGAGAACTCCTGCAACCGTTTGGAAAGCATTGACAAACGAAGTCATAACTTGTAACATTTTGTCCTTCTTCTTTTGACAAGACGAAGTACTACTTAATCCTAATGTGAATTGGGATGTGTTCTACTCTGCTCTTCCATACCCAACAGTTCTAGTTTAAAGTACAGTTGGGTGTCGAAGAGCGGAGTGCCGAACAACGACCAGGCTAGAATTTCACCAAGCGTAGCATACCAATGTACACACAGTGACTCAGGCAACTCAACAGTGCATAGACTGAAGTACTGGAAGACCAGTAATGTTAGCGAACATTTAATTCTAACGAGTTTGTCGAATTTGAAAGAATTGTTAACATTAAAGTTGTTACGTGGAAAACGATATGTACATGTACAGTCATTTGCCGGTTTTTGAGACAGAATTCGTTAGAATTTCACCTCGTTAGCCACCAAAAATCCGGAGATCGTTAATTTTAATTGACGTTAAAATATCTGGTCTTACAGTACTTAAAATGAGAACAGTCCAAACTAGGAGGCTGACCCTCCAGTTCTTTGGCTACCAACAGTATCATTATGGAAATGGTGGAAAGGAGCTACTTCGAATTATCATAAGCTGATAAGAGGAAGGACGTATCTATGTTGAGATTGGAATTCCTAAACACAGGTCCTCCCTCGTTAGTAGATCATCTCTGGGCCATCAAAAAAGTTATCTTGTAACGAGACTTATCTTGTCACAGGACTTGGAGCTAAAGGTGAAATAGGCACTTATTCGTACTTACGAGCCTGGGCTACCCTCAATACAACATAAATTATCGATGCTTAAATTTGTTATAGGATAATTGAAAACCTCCAACATAGCTCTTCCTGGAATGCAAAACATCCTACATATCTACAAATACATTGATATAATTATTACGTTGTGCCTTTCTGCTTTATCCTATGTCTTATGGTCTTGGTCCTGCATGGTCAATAATTATTATCATTCGTATAGTGAGGGTTTGGCACACCAGGGACCTGGGCAAAGGGTCGCTATAACGAAATTTATGTACTACCGAAATGTGTTGTAACCGGACCTGTAACCATTTGTATAGACAACGTTTCGCAAGGGGATTCCAGAATTCTATTTACTAACGGGGTTTATGTAGTAACCGGACTCGTTTTAATGAAGGAGGACCTGTATTAAAGGAAAGGAAAGACAAATCCTAGTTCAGACTGAAACCTGACAAGAGGAAGGACTATCAATTTTCTTGAGGTTACTACCAGAGAAATTCGTCCCAACAGTGATATGAGGAGAACATGATAATGCATGTAAAGGCTATGGAGATGTTTGAGTATGATTTCTACATTTTAATATGCATGTGAATGTGTGAGCTAATAACAACAATAGCTAACACAGAATTCTACAAGTGGGTAGCCACGGTAATACTATTATTATTTCGTACCTGCCACCTGCCACCCTGCATCTAGCAATGCTCATGTAGACCATATTAGGTGCTCGTTTTAGTCAGCTTTTGAAATACCGAAAGTCGTGTATAAAAGCCGCGGCTTGCATGACTTGACAGGGGAATTTTGCTTGACTGGCTTTTTCGTGTCTGCCTCTCTCCGCAATAGCTTGCACGACTAGTGATGTGACGTTTGACGTTGACTGGCAAAACTTCACCCAGAGGACGGATGTTGGTCTAGAGTGGTCACGTGGCCAAGGGTCCGTTGTAACTGCTGGTCATGGACCCCAAGGGGATCACACCTCAGGTAAGGAAACTGCTTTCCATCCTCCATCAGTGTGCTTCACTACTCTGCCAAAGAGCATCCAATCCCCGCAAATGATAAACCATTGTAAAAGTCTAGAATTTTGCCTCCCAGAGAAACAACGGTCTTCGCGATAAAACAAAAATAATATAAATTGAGCGGCAACAAAATGAACACGGAGATCATGGCCATGAGCGGTCACGAATTTATATTCATGACTTCGCAGTGAATGGGATTTTCGGTCTTTGACCACTTGCTGGTGAGCTGATCTACTCACCTCCCACTGATTTAGGAGCTGCACCTGGGCATTGATCCTTGAAGGGTGGTGGCGCTCCTACGGATGCGGAAACTTGCTTTCCAGCCGAGTCTCACGCGAAGCGTGAAAACAAAATTGCAGGTTTTTTTGGAATAGGCAAGGGGGTTTCCCTTTCACAGGATGCATGCACGATGAACATCAAATGAAGCGCTTGGATTTAGCCGAGCAGTATGAATCATGAAGATTAGCTCCATGTTAATAATAAGGAAAAGCAGGCCAGCATGTAAAAAAGTTCACGGTTCGATTGAGATTCGGTCAAAGGCCGAGTTTTCTGCATCCGCAGGAACGCCACCACACTCTAGGATCAAGGCGCAGATGCAGCTCCTAAAGCAGTGGGAGGTGAGTAGATCAGACCCACCACAAAGTGGTCAAAGACCGAAAATCCGATCCAATGGATCCATGTTTCCAACGTGCCAGGCCACGAGTTTCCAATTCACTGTGGGTCGCAGCACGGCTGGAAAAAAAAATCCTTCAGCTTCCAAGCAGGACATGAACCTGGTACCCTCTGTTACTCAATCATGGTCTTAGACAATCCCACTATGCCTGCTTGTCAGCATGTTAATGGTAAATTTATTGTGAAGAAGAGGTTGGTGCGACTTCGGCGATGCTTTGGGAATTTTGGGGAGGGAGACCGAAATGGTTGAAAGCAAATGCATTTTGTCTGTATGCTGTCATTGCAACTAAGAGTCTGCGTGGTGATGCTGGCATTTTGAGCCTGGCGGTGGCCCAGTGTGATTCTCATGTAGCGATCCTGCATTTTTCCATTGTATTGTATTGTTTATTTACGGATTCTCCAGAGGTAATTGGATTCCTATCACTGGAGCCTCACCAAACCAATAGAATAATGAAAATACCAATAATTATGTATAGAAGGAATTCGGGTGGAAACATCCATTCCCATAGCGCTGCACATCACATCCGAACCAGTTCCGATATTTTTACAAAGTTTCGGCACTTGGCCATCGTCAGGTAATAACAATGAATACCGTGGAAGCCACACAAGAGCAGTATATATACGCAGAGTGTAGCGCCAAAAAAAGATGCGAATTATGTCACCTAGTACCGGTACACAGAAGGGGGGGGGGGGCATTGTGGTCTTCGAAGTGAGGGTACATGCCAAATAATATGGTGTTAATTCTAGCAAATTACAGGAGGGGAGCAGTGCACGGAGGCCCATGCGCCAATGCACTATGTGGTTAATCACAGAATGTGTGAGAAAAGTAGACAACTGCGAAATCCCACACTTCCATGCCAAACTGTTACCACCAGGGACGCGAGGAGGCATCAGGAACAGAATGGATTTGAGTGACCCGCCGCATATTCTATTCAGTGATATTGAACAAAAGGATGTGATGTGCAGCGCTATGGGAATGGGTGGCTCCACCCGAATTCCTTTCACAGATGAGGCTGCAGGAAGCCTCAGCCCTTCTTCAAATTATGTGTGAAGTGGATAAAACTCGAAAATCAGTCATAACTCGTAACTTATTTGTGCTTCCTTTTCAAGTGTATTTAAATTTCAATCCGTTTTTTATCATCTTAGTCACAACGTGCTGCAGAAAAACAGGCTTTAAGGTTGCATTCTGCAATTGGTTTCTGTTCGTGTGCTCAGGTGTCGGTTATTATCTGTATGTTGATGTGAGTGGCGGAGGATCTGGACCAGCTACTCTGTACTCGCCTTGGTATTCTCGACTGTACCGACAGGGTGCCTTAACATTCTGGTATGTACCTCTCTCATACCTACAAATTCTCTCTCACACTGGCATAATTATGGTATTGATACCCCCTCCCTCCTCCCTCCCTCCCCCTCCCCCCCCCCCTCCCTCCCTCCTCCCCTCCCCCCTTCCTCCCCTCTCCCCCTCCCTCTACACCATAGCACAAGCAGGTGCAAAAACATAAACAAAGACACACACTCACACGCAGATGCACACACACACACACACACACACACACACACACACACACACACACACACACACACACACACACACACACACACACTTGTACTGTACTGTACTTGTTGCTCACTGCCAAAACTGGTCACGTGAGTCCCCCCGGGAGAGGGGAGAGAGACTCAAAAGGAATCTTGGGAAGATGACTCAATTGGTTATTGAACCGCCCAACGGCCGACACCCCCTAAAATCCCCAAAACTCTGGGTGGACTTGAAAATGATCCCACTTATGGGCACCTCAGTAAGTGGGTGAGGACAAGGTGCAGAAAAAGGATTGACGGCATCAGGGTATCCGTCCCGGGATCCAACTGCAGTTACCCCTGCCCCCAGTGAAGGTAATACTTGCTACTAGTGTGAGTGGCTAAATCAGAGTGGATCTGATAAAAGCTTCACTAGCACCATTGATTACACAAGAGTTAATCTAATCCTTTGTGCCATCTTCAATAGGTCCGTCAAATACAGTAGTAGTAGGTTTTTTATTTTGACCCGACGAGACCATACGACGCTTGCAGATCACAGCACGAACAGTTCACCAGCCACACTCCACGAAAGCAAGTGGTCGTACTCCTGACAAGTCTTGTTTCGTTCCATAGAGATAATAACGGGGAACTCATCAGAGGAGAAGCAGTTGTTGAATGAAGGGGTTTAGCTGAATAATGCTATTATTTTTATAGACAAGATATTGGCGCACTGAGGTGTAAACACTCAACTAACTCACATATGTGACATATCAACACAAAAGGAAAAGTGCAGAATGGAGGTGTTCTGAACCCTGCCAGACACAACTATCACAAGTGCTAAATCATTCACAATGAGAAGGAGAGGTACACAGGAATAGGTTGCGCTAGTTTACACGTCACAAATGGTACTGAGGTAGTGACAAAGATAGGTGAAAAGTAGACGCCAAGTGAAAGCCAACAAATTATCACGAACGTCTAACGTCACATCTGAAGATTGCTAGCGGCACAACAGTTATTATCCCTATGGAACGAAACAAGACTTGTCAGGAGTACTACTACTTGCTTTCGTGGAGTGTGGCTGGTGAACTGTCCGTGCTGTGATCTGCAAGCGTCGTATGGTCTCGTCGGGTCAAAATGAAAAACCTACTACTAGAGTTAATCTAGCCAGAAGCAGTCCATGGTTAACAGGTATGTATACTTCAAATAGAAAGTATATGAACCCTGGAACCAACAAAGGTGGCAGGTACAACATTACACCTTCAAGCAGCCGAGCCTGTTGGCAACAGACCCAACACAATCAGGCATAAGTGTACCTACCAACCGAACTAGCTGGCACACACACACACACACACACACACACACACACACGGGTACCGGACATCCTTATTGAATTTTCTCTTCATTGTGTGCTGCGACCCGCAGTTAATTGGGAACTCGTGGCCTGGTACGAGGGAAACATGGATACAGTTAATGGGATTTTCGGTCTTTGGCCACTTTGTGTTGGGCTGATCTACTCCCCTCCCACCACTTTAGCAGCTGCGTGTGCACCTTGATCCCTGAGGGTGGTGGAGTTCCAGGGTGGTGGATTACCAGGTTGGTGGAGTTCCAGGGTGGTGGAGTTCCAGGGTGGTGGAGTTCCAGGGTGGTGGAGTTCCAGGGTGGTGGAGTTCCCAGGGTGGTGGAGTTCCAAGGTGGTGGAGTTCCAGGGTGGTGGAGTTCCAGGGTGGTGGAGTTCCCAGGGATGCGAGTCTCACGCGAACTGTGAATTTTTTTCTTCATTTGTTTGCTTTTTTGCAGGTATTATATGGCGGGTAATTCCACTGGAAAATTAGAGGTCACTGAGGAAATGGAAGGAATGTCTTCTTTAATCGTGTTTTCTATGAGCGGTTATCAGGGAAGTAGCTGGCAGAATGGTACTCTTAGGCTTTCAATGACACTTGGAAAGAAGTTTCGGGTAAGTGACGCATTGTGCATAGTTTTGTGCGTGTGTTTGTGTATATATATATATATTTAAATAGAGACGTAGGCGAACAAAATTTGTATACACACAACAACAAGGTTGTCAGTTTCATAATACTAAAAGCTTTTCACCCATTTTCATCAGTAGATACATGGGAATGAGCAAGAACGAAAACGAAGCCAGAATTTATACTGGGGGGTAGAGAATCAGCAAGAATATTCTTACGCGCCTCAAGTTCACACTACACTACCATAAGAATGTATGGAGCAGTGGAAAAATGCGGGAAACAACACATCAGGGGAATGCAGTACCAGAACAAACACGTGATAAAGTTGTCAGTCCGGTTGCAGCTTGAACAGCCGTAGCACCTTGATGTGCTTCTTTTGCCGACACAGTTCTGGCCTCAAACTGCGAATGTACAGCGCCTCCAGTGTGAATCGGTGCGCGCTGTTTCGGGCTGGTGTGATCACACTGAAGCTGCTGTTGCGTTCCTGTGGGATGCATTCAGGCTGCGCCTGCAAATGCTTTGTGATGGCGCTATCACTTGTTGCCACACGTTTGTCAGGCGGCTTCTTGTACAGCTTGCCCTGTGGTCTATGGCGTACCGAAAATACATAAGAAAGACGTGCCACTTCGACCAATCCTGTCCATGATCAATGCTCCCCAACACGAAATGGCCAAGTGGTTAGCTGAATTACTAAAACCAGTCCTGAAAAAATATTCCGCCCACGCAACTAAGGATACATTCGAGTTCGTGGATGATGTACGGGAATTTGGCCAGCAGCAGGCAGAGAACTCTGGATCGCTGTTCCTGTGCTCTTTCGATGTAGTCAGCCTCTTTACAAACGTGCCTCTCAAGGAAACAATAGATATCTGCATACAGTCGCTATACCATGATGATGAAATATCAGCCCCGCAAATACCCCAAGATCTTTTCAAGAAGCTGCTTTTCAAAGCCACATCAGACGTGCAGTTCAGTTTCAACGGCAATATGTACGCACAGAGGGACGGAGTAGCCATGGGTTCACCCTTGGGCCCCGTGCTAGCCAATATCTTTGTTGGATATTTTGAGAACACAATTCCAGACAGTCATTGGCCCCAATTCTATAGGCGTTATGTGGATGACACATTCGCAGCATTTCACAACCGGAAACTGGCATTGGAATTCTCTGAGCGTTTAAATAATCTTCACCCAGCTCTCCAGTTTACAATGGAGGAGGAGAATAATGGAGAATTGTCGTTTCTTGATGTATTGATTAAGCATTCTTCCACAGAATTGCTCACCACAGTATATAGAAAGCCGACGTTCACAGGTCTTTACACCTGCTGGGACTCGTTTTGTGACACTAGAAACAAAATCAATTTGATCAGATCATTAACTTTTAGAGCTAAAACCATCTGCTCATCATCACTATTATCAGCTGAAATTGCTAAGCTAGAGGATATTCTGTGTTCTAACGGTTACCCACTCAAAGTACTCAAGCGAGTCATGACAAGCGTTCTTGAACCTAGCCCAGATATAGCTTCTGCACAACTTGAATCTGCAACGCGTATTATCACAAAATTGCCGTGGAAAGGGCAAAATTGCATTGCCTTCCGCAAAAAGATTAAAGCTGCAATTTTGAACTGCTATCCTACAGTATCCCCCATTGTAATTTATACAACCAGACCCGCATTCAGGTCTATCGCGAAGGATGTTTCACCAACTCCTGAAAATAGTAATTTTATTTATAAGTATGCGTGTCGCTGTGAGCGGACGTACGTTGGTGAGACATGTCAGCGATTCTTGGAAAGGATCAAGCAGCATATCCCAGACAAGCTGTACAAGAAGCCGCCGGACAAACGTGTGGCAACAAGTGATAGCGCCATCATAAAGCATTTGCAGGCGTAGCCTGAATGCATCACACAGGAACGCAACAGCAGCTTCAGTGTGATCACACCAGCCCGAAACAGCGCGCACCGATTCACACTGGAGGCGCTGTACATTCGCAGTTTGAGGCCAGAACTGTGTCGGCAAAAGAAGCACATCAAGGTGCTACGGCTGTTCAAGCTGCAACCGGACTGACAACTTTATCACGTGTTTGTTCTGGTACTGCATTCCCCTGATGTGTTGTTTCCCGCATTTTTCCACTGCTCCATACATTCTTATGGTAGTGTAGTGTGAACTTGAGGCGCGTAAGAATATTCTTGCTGATTCTCTACCCCCAGTATAAATTCTGGCTTCGTTTTCGTTCTTGCTCATTCCCATGTAATCACTGATGAAAATGGGTGAAAAGCTTTTGGTATTATGAAACTGACAACCTTGTTGTTGTGTGTATATAAATTTTGTTCGCCTACCTCTCTATTTATATATATATATGTGTGTGTGTGTGTGTGTGTGTGTGTGTGTGTGTGTTTGTGTGTGTGTGTGTGTGTGTGTGTGTGTTTGTGCATGGCTGTTTGCCTTGCATGTATGCGTCTGTGTGTCATTCCAACGGACGGCAGACTGGAAAGCAAAGCTCCGTCACTGAATGAGATAGATGCAATTGTAGTGAAGGACATGTGAAGGTGCTGGAGGTTAACGCAACTCCCTGCAAAACTGTTATCTTTCCGTCGCGTGTGCTGCTGTTGCCCAGCACGCCGGTGCACGTACTAGAACCTTCTCTGGCATCCTCATGATATTCTTGGTTCGCTTTCTGACGTCTTTCTGCTGGCTGGGCTCTTAGCTCTGCATTTGATCCGGAGCCCCCCCCCCCCCCCAACAATTATCGTAGGGCTATCCGGGTAGTCAATACTACTAACAGGGACTAATTTAACCGGTATCGCATCGCAATTTGCGACGCAAAACACAGTGTCTGCGATTCGAAGTTCGTAGTGAGTCGCGGTAAACTGCGACACAACATACAGCTAAGTATGGCCCTGGACATAGACTTGTAGTGCACGCGTAGCGCATGCACATGTGTAGCTTTACAGTGTGTGTGGCTGGTTTGGCGCCACGAGATGGCACGCCATGCACTGTGACTAGATTAGACTGTGTGTGTGTGTGGTTGTCCAGCCTGCACTGCAGGTAGATTTTACACCATACGCACGCGCGGGCCGCGGGACCATGGCCATAATTATGTCACACTATCTCCGCACGCGCACCGCAGCACGTGCACTTGGAAACTAACTAACTAAGTAATACTTACTTGAAGTGCAGCCCAGGAAGCACGAGGCGAGTGTCGACAAGTACTTCACCTGCTTTTGAGATTTAGACCGCGTTGCTTCACTAGCAGTAGGCGTCTCGACCGTTCAGGACTTATCTTTGTAAAATTCTGCTAGCCTTATTGATGAAGCCTCTTCACTGCCGGCATGTCTGTGAAGCAAGGTACTGTGGACAAGTGGATTGCTGAATTTGATCCCAAAAAGAATGGAATCGCGCAGAGTCGAGTGGTGGAGCTGTGACCAAGATATTTTGCAAGATGTGCAGGGAGAAGGCGTCCTCGCTTCGTGGTTTGAGGCAGCATGGCGTTTGTTGACGGTAAAAGTGGAAGTGCACTGAAGACTGCATTGTCGACGGAAAAAACTGCTATGCAAAATTGTTGCGTTGCTATGCAAACATCGAGGTGTGTAGCAATTATTGCTATGCAATTTTTTTGAAGTAAATTAGTCCCTGACTAATAATAATATTAATACGAAGTAGTGGTTGCGACTTCGGCGATGATTTGTAAGAAAGGGTTTGCTCCCCACACCGGAGTCAAGTGTCAAGTAAAGTCGGCGGAATAGCGCGAGCTCCGGTGTGGGGAGCAAACCCTTTTTTAATAATATTAATATTATAATAAGTGAACAAGCGTTTCGGAAACAGCAGTTTTAATTTAGCTACAAAGACAACTAATTGCACAGTAAACATTTCATATATGTCGACATGTATGTGTAAAATGTTGTACGATTATTGCAAGGCACATAAGGAAGGGAAAGCGAGGATTCGTTCAGAACTGTTTTCTTGTTGCAAGAAATTCACTTCAATTCACTGATGATTGTAACAGGAAAACAGTTCTGAACGAATCCTCGCTTTCCCTTCCTTATGTGCCTTGCGATAATCGTACAACATTTTACACATACATGTCGACATATATGAAATGCTTACTGTGCAATTAGTTGTCTTTGTAGCAATATTATTATAAGAAAGAAAAAGGACCAAGGAACTACAAGTTACGCTATATTGTCCACTAACGCCACCAGTTACTAAACAATCAGCTCATGCGATAACATTCCACGACACTGACCGGCGGTACTGACTTTCTTGTAACTTGTAGTTCCTTGATCATTTTTCTTTCTTAAAAATTAAACCTTGGCTCTCCATCCGAATATTATTATAGCGTAACTTGTAGTTTCTCGGTCCTTTTTTTCTTTACTATAAATTGTTAACTCAATAATTGGAGTAAGCTGCGCACTCGGTACAAGCACCATTAGCAAAACCTGTTTTCATGTATAAAAACTTGTTCCTAGAACGTTTTCATGGCCATCTCTTCAGGATTACTGACAAATCAAAATTAATTCAAAACTCAATATAAATACGCACAATCCAAGTTGTAACTTAGACCGTATTTAGTGCGAGCAATGAGAGCCGAAAGAAAATTATACCAATTCACGATATCATATGCAGCTTAGAGAGCGTGCGTGGGCAGGCGTGTGTTTACCGCCATATTGCCAGGTGTGTCTTTACCACCATATTTTATCAACGATATCAGGTGACATCAAATGAGATAAATGCACTACCAGCAAGTAACCATACAACCAAAAAAAGAAGTGAGAACTACGGATCTAAATTCACAAACAATTTCAACGTAAACAAATTCTGTTTCTGCCTACACAAGATCGGTTAGTTTTGAATCAATGTCGATTTGCCAATAATCCTTCTGAAGAGATGCCCACGAAAAAGTTCAATATTTTTGTGTTAATTACATTTCTACCTCCAGGTAAGGGGCCATCCGTAAATATCGAACTTTATTCACCAAACGAATTATTTTAGTTTAGACCCAACCCCTCCCTCCCTCCCCCTCAGAACGTAAAAAATGTTGACATATACATGCATATACAACAAAAGTCGCAAGTGTGTCATTGCTCCTATGGCCATGTACATGTATCGAAGTTTTCTGAAACAAAATTGGTCAACCCCCTCCCACCCCATAACGAAATTATTTCGTTTCGTGAAAAAATTTCGATATAAATTTTTTAGGTACCTGATCACGTACGTTCAACAACCTTATCCAAGCTGGCCTGCATGCACTCTCGTACTCACCTTTTGTCTCCTTTTGTTCCGTTGGCCTGGGTAGCTACTTGCGCGCCCACAATTGCCATAGCTACCCAGGCCCTTTATCTTGCCGTTCACACTTGATGTCTCTCTCTCTTTTTTCTCTCTTACACAAGTTAGTCGTTTCGTTCGTCTTGGTCTCTGTATCTTCGTCTCCTGTAATAAATGTTCCACCTACCAGTTCTCGTTGTCCATTGTTGTGCTTGGAGAGTATGACGTCCTCCTGTTGGAACTCAACAAGTTATTAACAATTTTTCTTTACTATAAATTTATTTATGGATCCTTCCATGAGTGACATGCGAACTGTAACTATATATATATATATATTTATTTATCCTTGGCTCTCCACCCAAATCTGTAAATTATTAATAGTATTATTACAGCAGCACGAAACCATCAAGAGCACAGATGTGATTTTCATTGAGGCCCAAGTACTGGCTGTGGAGACACAGGCAGCCAGAGGGAAAAATCAAGGGAGGGAAAAATCAAGGAGTCCATCGAGATTCGAGAGCGTCGTCCAGAGATCAATATCTCCTTCGGATGGCCATTGACGACGCTAGC